TGCCGAACATTGCATTTTCTTTCCACTTCAAAGCCAAGGTCTGGAAAAAACGCAAAAAAGGTTAAGGTGTTCGATGTATGGACCATTTTGGGCGGAAAAAAACATAATTTACTGGTTTCCTGGTGGTGCCAGACATTGAGTGACCAATTTTCAAGTGTGATTCCCATCAAAAGCAACTAATTTTTCCGAATTTCAATGTGACTTTTACTCCTACTGCAGATGTGCTTTCTGCCATATTCACACGGTAATCCCTGTTTAAGGTAGTATTTTTGTTAGTTTGCCCCATCTTTCTCACACACTTCCCCCCAGCATTTGTAAAATTCCATCTTATTTCTCCTCTCGTGCAGTCTATGCGAGAAATTGTCCTTAATCGGCATGTCAGAGTGTTGCGGAGACTTGGAGATTCGGGAACAATGCATCGACGACCTCAGACACACTTTCACAACAGGTACGTATCTGCTGTTGTCATGACTATAAAGTGTGCGCATCTGTATGTGCATGTGTATGTGTGTGTGTTTGGTCGGCACCTCTTGGTCCGTTCTAGCAGAAATGCCTGGCTCTGTTCGGACGGAAAATCATAAATGGTTTTACGCCTAACAACATCATACCAGCCAGTGTACATGTGAACCCACCTACCACTGGCACGTATCGGACTGTGGTCAGCAAAAGACGAAAACATTGTCGTCAAGTCTTGGACCCCAGAGGGGAGTAGACTGCATATTGCTACCGTTCCAATGTTTGCTAATCTTGAGATTTTCCTTCTTCCATTTTTAGAAAATGACGGCAATGCTGTATCGATGGAAAAACGACGTAGCATGATCGGCAAACGACGCAGCATGATCGGCAAACGACGCAGCATGATCGGCCGATAAAGCGATTTGCGTCGTTTTCCGGACCCATTGCCTTGGCTCCGGAGACGGTGAAGCTGGTTGCGAATTGTGGAATGGAACCCTTAATGTATGTTGGTCCGGCGGGCTTTATCAATGCTCAATATTGTATGTGTATGCCTGTGTGTGTGTGTGTGTGTTTAGTTAACAGTGTCTCTATTTTTGCGTGTCTAATCTACTTATTCGCTACAATGCCGCATGGAGCAGGAAAGAGTGGGCAAAAAGTTTTTAAGCAAATATGCATTCGCATGTCCTCAAAAGTGTACACGCCAAGACAAATGCCATACAGATGCATGCATTAATGTGCATTTTTGCCTGTCTTGCCCACCTCTCCAAAACATGCATACAGACTGCATAAATGCTGCCCCATGCCGATTTTTTCGAGCGGCCAGATGAGGCCTACCATCCTTTTAGTTGATATGAACAATATCAGCATAAAGCAGCCTCGTAAACCTGTTTGGAAATTTTTTTCTGAAACCGCGTCTATTCAGGACTGTATGTGAATTTCCCGCCATTTTGATCAAATAAATATTGTGAGCACAAAACACTTCTCTCTTTGGTTGCCTTAAGGCTGGCAGGGTATGACTTCGAGGGTTGCTAGGGTGACCGCAATCTTGTGATGGTGCTTCACACTTTTATCATCGGAACAGACCAGCTGGTATGAAGACTATTTTACCCAAACAACCGAGTATCCGAGGATTAGGACTAATTATGAAATACAATTTATTAAAGTATATTTATTTGTCATTTTCAATATAATATCGATAATACTTTAATAAGAACTAAGTTAATCTAGGTTAATTAAGGTGATTTACGATTTATACTTGAGTTTTTTCACATTCAGGATAGTAGGTTTTAAGATTTCAGTAAATTTCATTCGCGACTGACTATAGTTTTGAACTCGCCTGAACGAGTCTAATCAGCTCCGAAACAGGATTCGAACCTAGTTCGTGAGTATAGTGG